ATATATATTAGATTTAGAATCTTCTTTTTTCATTTAGATATTTAAGAAATAGTCTATAAATAAAATAGACTGTAATTTAAAATTTAAAATATGTGAAATTGTAGCGAAGTATGGTATTTCAAAGTTAATTTTCAACATGTACATATTATTTCCCAAGCTCAACATTTTAATACTCAGTAAACCTAAGAACATTCTAAAGATTACACTTATTTTAATTTAAAAATAGCACCTAAAAATGGCTAAAAAAATCATACTCATTGATTTGGGATCTATAAACAGACCATTAAAAAATAAAACATTCATTTGAATTATGTTTATCTTCATTAATTGTATAAACAAGACCATGATTTTGAAAAGACAACAAAATTTGAAAATAAACTGATGGCAGAAGGTCACTTTTTGAATTAATCAGTTTGCATAGTTTTTCCGTATAATTTAGTGTGATTTTCGACAAATATGCAAATGAGCTGTTACTAAAAATAGATGCGAGGTTCGAGAATTTTTTGTAGATATTCTGACTTCTACTTTTATGAAGAAAATTTTAAGACACTAAAAAATCCTATGTTGCAACCTTCCATTTGGACGAGTTTTTGAATTTTGCATAGTTTTCTCGCAGACTGGCTCGCTCTTAATAAATTTAAGTTTACTTAAAATTTTTTATTGTAATCAGTAAGTGTCCTTCTTGAATGTTCAAGTCTGAAATATTGTATAGTGATGTATTATAATGGTCATTTTGTTTCATGTCTTAGGAGAGGCAGAGATTGACCAATCAAAATCAAACAATTAAAATTCCGGCCAAATTGTTTAATTTTACTGTACTCTAGGCAAGGCCTAAGTACAAGTTTCAGGCAGTCTTTTGTACTTGCCATTTTGTACGCGCTTGGGTTTTTTCGTTTTAGTTTCAGCTTTTACCCTTGCGATTTTTCCATCGATTTTATTTGATTTATCTAGGAATGTATTTTAATTAATGCGTTCCGGGTTTATCCTTTTTTCTAAGAAGGAAAATCGTTGGAGAAATGTCTGCCAATTTGTTTGTTACGGTATTAGTTGATTACTAAAATTGTTTAATTTTACGGTACTCTAGGCAAGGCCTAAGTACAAGTTTCAGGCAGTCTTTTGTACTTGCCATTTTGTACGCGCTTGGGTTTTTTCGTTTTAGTTTCAGCTTTTACCCTTGCGATTTTTCCATCGATTTTATTTGATTTATCTAGGAATGTATTTTAATTAATGCGTTCCGGGTTTATCCTTTTTTCTAAGAAGGAAAATCGTTGGAGAAATGTCTGCCAATTTGTTTGTTACGGTATTAGTTGATTACTAAAATTGTTTAATTTTACGGTACTCTAGGCAAGGCCTAAGTACAAGTTTCAGGCAGTCATTGTACCTGCCATTTTGTACCCGCTTGAGTTTTTTCGTTTTAGTTTCAGCTTTTACCCTGGCGATTTTTCCATCGATTTTATTTGATTTATCTAGGAATGTATTTTAATTAATGCGTTCCGGATTTATCCTTTTGCAGTCACAAGGCAAGAATTTTCAAATGTATTAAAGCAAAGTCTCATGTTTTGAAATTTAGATGTCAATAGATTCAAAGGACATTCCTTTCGAATTGGGATAGCCTCTTACTGTGCATCAAGGGGGATGAGTGATAGATTAGATTCCTGGGTAGATGGAAATCGGATGCATTAGACATGTGACACCATGTTGATACAGGTATATGCTTGAGTGGAAATGGAGCCTTGGGGCAGATCTTTTGTTACTGATTGAGGATCTTGATTTCAAAGTGATTTTCATGAATATTAACTTATGGGAGCATACGACTATCCCTCATCCAGAACAATAGTGCTCAAGTCAATTGTTAATACTTAGGCTAGTAGGTGACAAGACTGCACACATATAAACTTTGAAAAAAGACAGCGATGAAATTTACAGTGTGATGTATTGTTAATATGGGGGCATATGTCTATCCCTCACATGGCACATTTTTGCTTAAGTCTATTATTAATACTTCAAGCTGAAAGATAAAAAGTCTACACACGTGTGGACTTGGTAAAAGACAGTGAGGAATGTGATGCTTTGTGAATATTGGGGCATATGTTTATCCCTTATCAGGCACATCAGTCCCTGAGTCATTTGTTAATACTCAGAAGACTGAGCATATGAAATGCATCCACTTACAACAGTAATCTTCTGACTTTGTTATTATGGAGCATATGTTTAGCCCTCATAGAACACGGGAAAAATTGAATTTTTATTATAATTGAACTGTAATAGATTGATACATTATCTTGTCCTATATGTCTCATGAACAGATGGTGTTTTGTTGCATTATTGGACATATGTTTATTCACATATTGCAATGTGCAGATTAGGTAAATTTTCTCACTTCTGGTATGTTTATTGTTTGATGTGTGTTGCCATTTTTCTTCATGGGTCTGAACTTCCCCCAGTGCGGTAAAGTCAGTGGCGTTTTCAGACCCATTTTCATGATTTTTCTGTTAAGTCAAAGTTGTAATTACTGGAAATTTGGATTATCTCCCTTTACAAATTGGTTTATTTCTCATATTTATATTTTGTGTCTGCTAAAATTATATGCCATTGTTAATAATACTTTTGAGAATTTCAAACAAATTATTAAACGTCACAAAGGTGGCAACACAAGACAAACTGTTTTACATACTTTTTGTTCATTGAAGGAGGATAAGATATGGTGTTCTAGTGATGAGAGGATTATGGAAAGAAATATGCAATTTAATGGGTAACTGGGCTATCAAAATACTTATTGCATTAATATAAAAGTAATTACAGACTTATAGAAGGAAGAAATACTTTGTTCAAAACCACGTACTTAGTTTCGGAGTAGAAGTAGATATACATGTACGCCCCCTCCTTCCTTTTGTAAAAAAAAAAAACTTGAAAAATAGCAATTTCATTAATTGTTGCTTATTTTGAAACCAGATAATATTATGTTATAGATATTATACTTTCGGGTGCTCTTATTCCATTTCCAACACGGAAAAGAAGCGAATATGCACATTTTACTGATAAAGACTTTTTGTAAAAAAAAAAAAAAAAAAAAAAAAAAAAAAAAAAAAAAAGCTTTTAGCACCCTAGGCCTAGTTTATGTATTTGATACAAACCTTTTTAAGAAAGAAAAAAAGCCCACTGAAATGTAATGATTTGTGCAAAAAAATTTAACAGCTTTAATGGCATTTGAACAATACCATTTTCATTAACTAACATTTTCTCTTTACATGTAATTTAGTTTATTACGAAATACAAACTGTACTTGGGGTTCGTTGCTCTCAGTGGTGAAAATGCACATTTTTCTGATAAATCTATTAGTACATCCTACCAATAATCTTTCGATATAAAAATATATTCACAACTTATAGTACCATTATTTCTATGCCCATTCATACGATGGTCGATATCAGCCATGTCATTCTACAGTTAAATTAAGTGTGAAGTGTCAGTGCTATGTACAGTTTGCTTTGTCAGGTTACTCATTGCTTGAGTAAATTGTACTATGTGTACATGAAGATTTCAACGCTGTCACGGCATTCTCATTGCTCGGAAAATGTGAGTTGTATACATGTGTTATTAATTGACGGTTTACTCTTATCTGCAATTAAAATTTTCAAAAACAAAAATAAATCCCTTCATCTGGAAACAGCAGTAGGGACATAAAGTATGGAAAAGGAGGCAATAAAATTTTAACATGAAAGAGAAAGCCTTTGGTGGGATATAAAAGATATATAATGCCAAACCTATAATGTTTAGAATATTTGTTTGCTACTGTCCCCATTCTTTTCCGAAAAGATTCAATAATAAAAATGTGTTGAAATTAAATCAGATTTGTATGATTGATATTTGTATACAAGTATTTTACCTTAACAAATTTCATAATTCTCTGATATGACAAAGACACAAATGTTTACTTTATGTATATATGTGTATACTGAATTATTGAATTTTTCAGACCTGTTTATATCAATATGTTACTGCACTATTACGAAGCAAATGATTGACAAACGTTAACATATTCAAAGGTACATGACCGTACTCTGCTTTTTAGAGAAAAAAAAACTTATTTTTAAGAGTTGAAACATCTCATTAAAAAAGTAAGATTTATATATTTCTGAGAGATAATCATTTTCAGAAAAAACAACAAATGCGAATTCTGGATTTTTTGTAAACGGGTATGTTACCAAGTCATAAAGAAATTAAAGTCAATATTTCATTTCAAAGAAGAATGGGGACATTGTCGACTGAAAAGTAGGTCACCATGACCTACTTTTGAAAATAAATTGCTTTAGTTAAATATTTCAGGTACTAATTGGCTTAGAATCATCAAACTTTGTCAGTTGATGTATCTTGGGTCCGCAGAGTTAGTCGACTGAAAATGAATTCACTGTGACCTATTTTTGAAATTTTATGGCTTTATTTAAATATATCAGGTACTTATTGACTTAGAATCATCAAACTTTGTCAGTTGATGCATCTTGGGTCCTCAAAGTATGTCATCTGAAAAGTAGGTCATTGTGACCTACTTTTGAAATTTTATGGTTATAATTTCAAAAATATATAGGTATCAATTGGTTTAAAATCATCAAACTTAGTTGATGCATCTTGGGTCCTCAGAGAATGACAAGTGATAAGTAGGTCACCATGATCTACTCTCAGGTACTAATTGGCTTAGAATCATCTTTGGTTCTCATAGTGTTTCATCTAAAATGTAGGTCATGATGGCCTTTCTTTGGAATTTCAAGGCTTTATCTAAATATACAGGATACTTAGAGGTTTCAAATAGTATAGAAGTGATAGATTGTACATGTACCGTTTATCAGAAGAGCGATTCAAGGCCCTTGGGCCTCTTGTTTACCTTAATTATAATTACAAGGAAAGATAAAAATGCAATAACTGTTCTTTTGATTACTTTTATAAAATGTAAAGCAACAAAAAATTAAAAAAGGAAGGCAAAATATCTGCCATTACTTATAATAATGTTTCCCTTATTTTCAGAGGGAAGAAAGCAAAAGGTATGCTCTGTTGCTTTTTATTAAAGTCTCCATTACTTGCTATCTACATACAAAATATACATAGTAAGAAATGATTGAATTAATAGCGTAATTATAAGACTTTTTAAAAAATAGAAAATAGATTTACTTAATGAAACTTTTTCTGGATAATTATTACATCGATAAGTGTATTTTAATATTTTTTTTTTTATATTATCTGATTGTATCTTTGTTTCGATTACTGTTCTCAAAAATTAATACTATTATCATTCCTGAAGTTGTACCTTTTAAGATATGTTGCATTCGTAATCCGTTTCTTTTTATGAATTCCAGAAAACTATATATAGCTTAATCTTAGGATTAGGGATTGCTTTACCATTCCATCTGGTAGCTATAGCGATAATATTTATTGTTTGTGTTTATTGTCAACGACGATCACAAAGGAGGGAGTTAACTAAACAGAGTAACTTGGATAGGTAGGATTTCTATAAAACTGCATATATCTACAAACTTTACACTTTTGATCTTGCTCCTATTATCATTCTTTTTTTCAAAATCAAAATCAAAATAAAGGTGATAGCATTACGATAAAATAATAAACTAGATAAGTTTATCTAATGTTTACAAATTAAATCATTTAAGAAAATAAATTAATTTAGATCAACGATACGTGTACGTTATGGAAGCTGGGGTCCAAAAAGCATTTTCTCCCCCTGGGGACAGGAATCTGGAGAAAGAAAAGAGACCTCAACCACTAGGTCAAGTCAGTTTGGGAAAGGTAACTGGTACAGTGCGACTATTGGTTCAGGAGGTTAGTATTTTTTCACTTACAAAATAACGAGGGATGGGGATATTTTAAGATCAGATTAATCAAAGCTACCGAAATTAAAGAATAACAGCTTGAATAAGTAATTATATATATATACATATATATATATATATATATCCTAAACATCCATGAAAGTAAACATGTATGCTGTACTGTCTGAAATTCATTTGTAACATTATTTTTTAACAGATCCAAATTTGTCGGAACATTTAAGGGATATCATGCCTTCGTTCATACCACCTGATGTGTCGTTTGGTTCTCCTTTAATATTATTTTCTTCGGATTAAATATATCAATCCTCAGTTGCCTAAAATTGTTAATGATAGTTTAATCAATGCTTTACCTTTTGGCAGTTTAAGATAAGACGACCTGTTGCAGATACGATTCCTAACTCCGTATTCGTAAGTTTTGCTTCGCATAAGTACGTGTTTTGTAGTTTGTTATTACGTTTCCTATTTTAGATTTTTTAAGCATATTTTTGAGATGGGAAAATAAATTTATATTTGTTTATTGATCTTTCTTACATGTCAAGTGTGTTTGTCGATTTTTGTTCGCTTGCCCCTTATTAGCTCACCCGAACAAAAAAAGTTAAATTGAGATTTTAAGATTTAAAACTGTTCAGTGTTTATTTATCTGTCATATATCATATGTATTTGTTTTTACAATACTAACTTGTTGTCATGTACAACCAGACAAATTTCAAGACATAAACGCACAAAGTGTCGTTGGTGGGGTAGATTAAGATTTCTTCAAAAGAAGGATCACTCAATTTTACAAGGAAAAAATAATAGTAAAGAAATACTGAAAAGGGCTTTCTCCCTCGAGGACTATTTGTTCAGGAAAGACAAAATTTACGTGAAAGCTTCCCGAGTTTGTACCTCATTTCTTAATTGTCTTAAGTTTATTCATAAATGGCTGAATTACAATTGGGGTTTTATATTTGTATTGTTCTTATATGGGAGAGAAATCTAACCATTTAGTCTTTATGGATCATGATCCCTGGGCTAGCCATACCTTAACCCTTTCTCTACCGGTGCATTTTAAGCGACTTTGGAGACCTTTTGACATATCATTATAAATTAATTTTTAACTTTTTTATCCAAAGGGAAAGCTAGGCATAATGCATACCATTTTGTAGGGAATTTTCCAGAGATGATATTCCATAGATATTCAGATACCTCACGACTGACCTTACTACTGGAAATAGAGGTCAAAGGTCAAATAAGTGCAGAATTTTATTGAATTTTTGGACACTTTTTAATCTTTAAGCTAAAAATTTACAATGATGTATGTTGAAATAGGAAATTTAGAATATACTCATAAAAGGGCATTATACTGAACTACATTAATCACATAAACTTTTATTTCAATTCTGCAAAATAAAGATTTTAAAGAGGTTGCTAAGCAACGGGTATTTTGTATTTTTCGGGCAGTATTTCTTGTTTTTTGTTCATCCAAATTACATTTATGCATTCCATTACCTTTTAAAGTCAGATATGGGGTCATAATATTAAGAGGGATGTACAGTAATATATTTGTGTTAAAGTTTGACCTCAGTAGGCTTATTTTTAGGAGGTCAAAAGTCAAATAAGTGCAGAATTTTATCAGTTTTTTCAACACTTTTCAATATTCTAGCTAAAATTTTACAACAATGAATGCTGAAATAGACAGTTCTGAATAAACTCTTTAGAAGGCATCATGCTGAACTACAACATCCATATACCACTTATGTTCAAATATGTGTTCAATGACCTCTAAGTGGTTGCTAAGCATCAACAAAAATTTCAATTCTTAAGTATTGACCTTGAGATTTCTTTTCTTAGGGGGTCAAGGTCATATCAATACAGAATTCTGCCTTAAATTGCAAGAAAATATCCATTTTGAAATGCTGCAATTATTATGGACATATTGTCTAATAATTGACATATAAAATTGTGAACGACAAAATCTACAGAGATATTACACGAATGAATTGTTCTTTTTTTTTTTTTACTTTGCATATCTTGGTTGCCATTCAAAAAATATATCTATAACTTAAGTGAACTGACATAAAATTTGTAAGATGTGATTACATGTTATATCAACCTTAGTGACACATACTGTTAAAATAATATGGTAAAAAAGTAATGCAACTAGTTATCAACAAATTTTCATAAATTATACAGTTAAGTACTTATTTCATCATTTTCAAAAACTACCACTATTTTCTTTGTCTATTGGAATATAAGAAAATACTTACAATTTTCTTTTCTTACAAGAATTATCTTACATTTTCTAGTTTTGAACAGATTTCGTGTCTTTATTGTGTCACTTGTTAAAACAATTTTTGTCATTTGATGAGTGTGAAGAAACCTCACAAGATGGACAATGCATGGAACTTTAAATCTCTTTTTCAAATAAGTGGCTTTTTCATTACAATCCTTTCATTCATCTAATTTATGTGGCATGCATTTGCTCATCTTTGGAAGCCAAGGATATCTGATCCGCTACTCTTCTCACAAACCCTTGGCCTATTATGCTACCAAAAGTCAGTATTGTTTAGGTCACATGATCTCGAATCACCGCTTGCATTATTGATAGAAATAAAGAGCATTTTTAAAAATGAAGTATCTGAAGAATAATAAACAAGCAGATAGGTTTATTTGTTAGTATATTTGCAAGTCTATTTCTGCTATATAGATTCCAGATTACATGATGTACACATCATCTTCAAGTTGGATGATGCCATAGCTATTTAAGGACATACGCAACGTAGTTTGAACTTTATTGTCTTTTCCCCTGGAGTTGAAGAGTTCCAATACTTAAAGGAATTGTGTGCTACATTTGTATGTTTATATATGCTGTAAAACACTTCTTCTAAAACAAGTTTGGATAAACAAAACATCTAAAATATGTGTTTAGTAATTTTTGTGTATTTTTCTTTGAATTATACAAGAATTTTCATCAATTGATTTCTCCTGGTAATACATGCTGATTTTTTGTCGACGAGCATCTGATGGCACTATAATCTTAAATTAAGAATATCTTGAAAAATTATCAGTAGGTAAGGTACGTTGCGTATGTCCTTAAAGAATGGAATTCTAGCATCTTATGAATCATTGTTTACATGAGTTTTTCATTATCGAGTGTCCAGAAATATCCTGAATGAAGATAATGTCATTTAGCACTTGCTGCCTGGTCAAATGATGTCTATAAACTTTAATCATGACTCGAGAAAAAAAAAATCCTGACTACTGATAGCAAGATAAGCTAAGGATTTGTGAGAAGAATACCGATATTCAATAGCCATGTTTGATGAGAAACATTTGACTTGGTCTTTTAATGCAATAATTGACAATGCGGCTCAAGTACAAAATAAGACGAAAATAGTTCCTTTGTTTACGTTAATCTTTTTCTCGTAAGAATATCTATTTTTGCATATAATTTGGCTGAACAGTGATGTAAAAATTACATAACAGTAACTACTATACAATCTTTCTGTTAAACAAAAATAAATCCATTTCTTGATACCAAAAAAAAATCATCTTTATTATCATGAATTTTCCCCCAATGTTTATTTCAGCAAGACAATATAAACTAACTGACTTCATTTTTAAATTCTTTGCCAAGTGCTTTAGGGGTACATTAAAGACTTGAACTGTCATCTTGAAAAAAAAAATTAATTTATCGCAATACTTAATGCAAAACGTTTAGTCAATCAGTTAAATTTTTTTTTTTACCCAAATATACAAATCCAGAAATATTGCTAACTGAATTCCAAATCAGACATCATTCACAAAATGCTGAATACCAGAGCACTTTCTCTTTGTGGCCACCATTCTTTCATTAACTGCCATCTCTCTGAAAGACTGGAGGAACTCCTTTGACTTGTTCAAGACATAATCAGTTCTGGTTGTATTCGCACAATTAGTTTCTATCCTATAAAAGATTAAGTTTTTATAATTAAATAGGTATTATAAAAATTTAATATGTAAATTTACATGTATAAAAGTAAGAAAGCTAGAATTAACACACTGATTATGTTGAAATAACTTTCATTTTCAAATTAAAAGTATTTATTTATAAAGTTTATTTATTATGTGATACATGTAGTTACATGTATATGGTATGGGGACGTCAATGTATTATGACTAAAAAATTACCGGCCTAGTAATAAACCATCATTTCAGTCAATTATTGAGCTAAAAGAAATAACATACCCATTAATTCTATCAAAATTAAAAAAAAATACCTTTTTCAGTTTCGGCTGTCAGGGTTTTTTAGAGAAAGGACACAATGGACTGAAAACTGTTTCTCCAGGGCAAAATTCTCCGAACAAGGGGAGTGTTGAGGAATAGCCATCCATTGAATGAAGTTTGACCACCCATGTATATGTGATAATTCAACAGAAACTGAAAAATTGAGAAAGAGAAATTCTATTCACATACATCATGCAGATTGAAAATAACACAGCAGTCTATAAAAGAAAGCTGGCTCCATATTGAGCATAATGGGTGGTAAAATGGCAAGTTTACATGCATAATCATGCATTATAAATATCATGAGTATCACATATTTTTTTCAAAATGTAAGTCAATGTGTGAATGCAATATCAAATAAATACAATTAAAAGTTCACTTTATTTAGAATTAATGTTTAGAGATACAGGAATTTTCATAACAAAAAGATAGAAAAAAATGATTTACCTGTTCATTGGTTATAATAAGCACCTGTGTCCTCCACATCATGGTCTTTCCAGTGTATGGTTGGATTAGCAAGTGGATCTTCACAGCTGAACGTTCCGAAACCAGCACCCTGAACATGCTAAAAAATTCGATGTGTTTGTGTTAGACGACAACTCTCAAGAATTATGCCAAATTTGATTTTATTTTGAATGGTACTTAGGGTGGTCATCAAAATTTATACACTTCAAAAACAACACAAAATTAGCTGAACAAGTATCAATCTAATAATGCGAGTTCATACCGGCTAACGCCTATGCATGTACGTGAATCAGTATCAGTGCATAGTGCTGTAGTGTACCACTTGTTTTCATTTGAACGTGAATAAATGCACTTTCAAAACAGTTTTAAACTCTTCAACCAATACTTATTCACCTCTTATACCAAAGGAATGACCTTCTTATCTGATGAATTGATGTGATCCATCATAAAATAATCATGAAAATTGATGTTCACATTATCGTGTTGTTGTTTACTGCTACGGTGGCAGAGAATAGTTTTTTTGGCAATCAAAACGTTTGACTGACGGTTTCCTTAATATTGAGCTGCTTTTAAAATGTGCATTGGAAAATTTTAAATTCT